AGAAACATGGAATTGTTTGGCTTGGAAGGGATCTTGAACACCTCAAACATGTCTCATTCCAATCCTCTGCCATGGGCAGGGACACCTTCCCCTATCCCAGGTTGCTCCAAGCCCCATGCAACCTGGTCTTGGGCACTTCCAGGGATGGGGCAGCCACAGCTGCTCTGGGCACCCTGTGCCTGGGCTGCATAGAGAATTTCTCCCTTAACCCAGCAGTTAATGCCTCAGTGTCCCCAGAGGAGGAGAGGACTCAGCCCCTCCATGGGGGCCCAGCTCTCCAATTCCAGCCTTGAGCTGGAACAGCAGCGTTTCCTCATCCACAGATCTGCCCAGGTGAAGCAGGTTGGGCTTTTCAAACCCAAACCTGTGTGTGCTTCTGAATGAGTTTTACATCTCAGCTTTTTCTTTAGCTTTTTCCTGTGGCTTTGCTCAGCCCTCCTGTCTGTAAAGAGGGATCAGAGCATCTCCTGCCTCCCAAGGCTGACTGAGCTGTGATTACGATTGGCAAAGCTCCTTACGATTTTCAGTACAAAAGAGATGTGGAGAAATCTGCTGGGACAGATCCAAGCTCTGCCCTGGGGCAGGCTCCAGTCGACAGCAGGGAGTGCTGGGGTGAACATACAGGGATGTGAGATCCCAGGCCTGGGGGGCAGAAAGGACCATCCCAGGAAGGACCATCCCATGAAGGTCTATTCCAGAAAGAACCATCCCAGGAAGGTCTGTCCCAGAAAGAACCATCCCAGGAAGGACTATCCCATGAAGGACCATCCCATGAAGGTCTGTCCCAGAAAGGACCATCCTAGGAAGGACCATCCCAGGAAGGACCACCCCAGAAAGGACTATCCCACATAGGACCATCCCAGAAGGAACCACGTGCAGGTGAATTGCAGAACTGTTCCCCATCAGTGAGGTGTTAAGTGATGCTCTGGTTCAACCCTTCTGTCCATCATCATGGAAATAAATTCCCCCACTCTCAGGACCCCTTTGCATTTGGAGGAGCCAGCATTCATCCAGCCAGGAGCTCCCAGACCACACAAGCTCCATGGGAAGCATCCTGCAGCACCCTGGACGTGCCCCCTGCCCCACAGCAGTTCTTACCACGCCTGAGCCTCGCTTCATCCAGACGATGGTGAGAGAGGGGTTCCCAGTCCAGGCACAGTTGAACACGGCGTCCGAGCCCAGGTCAACCAGGAGGGACTGAGGTTCTGTCGCCATCCTGGGCCCAACTGTGCAGAGGAAACTGGAGTTACTGCCAGTGACGGGCTCTGCCAGCCAGAAACCCTCGAACCAAACAGCTCAGAGGGAGCAGTGGTAGATCTTGATGGGCCCCAAATAAAGAAAAGCCTCAGGCAAGTGCCTGCTGCAGCTCCAGAGGGACCAGCTCCCCAGTGACCACCCCACGAGCTCACAAGGAAATCACAGGTCCAACCACAGGAGCATTCACGAAGCATGAGAGGAGAGCCCAGCAAGTCCTGCCACCCTGGGCAAATCAGACTGAGCTGTGTCTGCTTCCCGCTGCTTTTCAGCAGCTCTGCTGAGCCTGGAAGCCAGGCTCAAGCCAGCAGGTTACTCACAGTAAACATCCACGGTCCTGCTGATGTTTGTGCTGCCCAGAGCATTGGTGACCTCGCAGGAGACGGGCTCAAAGAAGAACGTGTGGTCCACGATGGTTTCGTAGAAGTCACCGGAGGCTTCCTTTATAACCTGGCCTTTTTTGGCCCACCTGTGGAAGGAAACAGAGCATCGTTGTGGTGCTGTTTTGTGTCTCTTGCCATCTCCACTTGTAGCTGTCACAGTGCTGGGGGCAGCACCCCCAGAATGTCCCTGACTTCAGAAGGGACATGAATTTGTTCTCAGCATTGTCCCCTTCCCCAGGGATTTAGGGACTACAGCCACAGGTTTTGGAGAGGAGCCATCAGAGAAATGTGTATGTGTACCACAGAAACCTTTCCAATAGAAACCAGAATTCTATACCCTGTTTCACTGGGAATACACCTCATTCTTTAGGATTGTGAAGGACCTCAGTGATGGGAGGAATGGGACATGGAGGGTCTCTACTTGATGGGGAATGACAGTCCCTTCCTG